GTAATTTATTTTTTTACTGTTGAGTAATAGATGGATGTATTGTAGTTTATTTTTCTGTTTGTCTGAAGGACATCTTGGTTATTTCCAGTTTTTGACCATTACAAGAAAAGCTCTATGAGGTTCATTTTTTTGTATGTGTGTATGGATGACTAATTGTTCCAACATCATTTACCAAAAAGATTCTTCCTTCTCCATTGGATTGCTTTTGTATCTTTGTAAAAAAAAAAAAAAAAAAAGTTGGCGTATTTGTATGGGTGAACGTAAGTTTTCTTTTTTTTTTTTTTAGTTTTCATTTTTCTAGGGTAGATACCCAGTAGTGGAATTGCTGTCTTTTGGTAAATGTATGTTTAAATTTCTAAGAAACTGCTAGCCACTCTGGAAAACTGTATGGAGGTTCCTCAAAAAGTTGAAAATAGAGCTACCATACGATCCAGCAATTGCACTACTGGGTATTTACCCCAAAGATACAAAAGTAGGGATCCGAAGGGGTACGTGCACCCCGATGTTTATAGCAGCAATGTCCACAATAGCCAAACTGTGGAAAGAGCCAAGATGTCCATCGACAGATGACTGGATAAAGAAGATGTGGTATATATATACAATGGAATATTATGCAGCCATCAAAAGGAATGAGATCTTGCCATTTGCAACGACGTGGATGGAACTGGAGGGTATTATGTTGAGTGAAATAAGTCAAACAGAGAAAGACATGTATCATATGATCTCATTGATATGAGGAATTCTTAATTGCAGGAAACAAACTGAGTGTTGTTGGAGTGGAGGGTGGGGTGGGAGGGATGGGGTGACTGGGTGATAGACACTGGGGAGGGTACGTGCTCTGTTAAGCGCTGTGAATTGTGCAGGACTGTTGAGTCTCAGATCTGTACCTCTGAGACAAATAATGCAAGATATGTTAAGAAAAAAAAAGAAGAAGAAGGTAGCGGGAAGGGAGGAATGAAGTGGGGGAAATCGGAGGGGTGGACGAACCATGAGAGAAGATGGACTCTGAAAAACAAACTGAGGGTTCTAGAGGGGAGGGGGTGGGAGGATGGGTTGGCCTGGTGGTGGGTGTTGAGCAGGGCACGTTCTGCATGGAGCACTGGGTGTTGTGCACGAACAATGAATCATGGAACACTTCATCTAGAACTAATGATGTAATGTATGGGGATTAACATAAGAATAAAAAAAAATGTAATGCCGAGAAAAAAAAAAAAAATTTCTAAGAAACTGCTAAACTGTTTTTAGAGTGGCTATACCATTTTTCATTCTCACCAGAAATGGCTAAGAGGTCCACTTGTGCATCTTCACCAGCACTAATGATGTATTTTTCATTTTGGCCGTTTTAATAGGTGTGCAGTGATGTGTCCTTAGGGCTTTTTTTTTTTTTAAAGATTTTATTTATTTATTTGACAGAGAGAGAGATAGCGAGAGCAGGAACACAAGCAGGGGGAGTGGGAGAGGGAGAAGCAGGCTTCCCGCCGAGCAGGGAACCCGATGTGGGACTCGATCCCAGGACCCTGGGATCATGACCTGAGCCGAAGGCAGACGCTTAACGACTGAGCCACCCAGGCGCCCTGTCCTTAGGGCTTTAATTTGCTTTTCTCTAATGGCTGTTGATATTGAACATCTTTTCAAGTGGTTGCTGCATACCCATGTATCCTCTTTGGTCAAGTGAATGTTCAAGTTTTTGCTTATTTTCTGGTGAGATTTCAGTTTATTTATTTATATTAATTTTTTTCCATGGAGTTTAGAGAGATCTTCATTTATTCTGGATACATAAAGTCTTTTGCTGAATATGTGATTTGCAAGTATTTTTTTCCCTATCTGTATCTTGTCTTTTCATTCTGTTAAATGTCTTTAAGAGCAAAAATTAATTTTGAAGAATAAAGTTAATTGATATATTTTTTTTTTAAGATGATTTATTTGAGAGAGAAAGAGAGAGAGAATGAACAGGGGGAGAGGCAGAGGGAGAGGGAGAAGGAGAGAAGCAGACTCCCCATTGAGTGGGGAGCCTGATGAGGGGCTCAATCCCATGACCCTGAGATCATGACCTGAGCTGAAATCAAGAGTCAGACGTTTAACTGAGTGAGCCACCCAGGCCCCCTGGTATTTTTTTCTTTTATAGACTGTGTTTTTGGTGTTGTATCCAAGAACTCTTCACCTAACCCTATTACAAAGACTTCTAAAACTGTTTTCTTCTAAAAGTTTTATAGTTTTCTGTATTGTTCTATCTCTGTGATCTATTTTGTGTTAAGTTTTGTATGAAGTATGAGGTTATGTTGAGGTACGTTTTTTTTTTGTGTGTGTGTGTATGACCAATTGTTCCAACATCATTTGCTGAAAAGACTCTCCACTGAATTGCTTTTGTACCTTTTTGAAAAAACAATTAGTTGGCTGTACTTGTGTGGGTATATTTCTGGACTTTGTTCTTCCTCCATCAATATATATGTCTTTCCTTCCTCATATATCACGTCTTAATTACTGTAGCTTTATATTGGGTGGTAAAAATATATATTGAGTAGCTAAAAATCAAGTGGGAAAAATAAAGTAGAGCTACAAAATGTAGCTCAAAAATTTCATGAAGTGTAACTCCTCCAACTTTATTTTTTTCAGAATTGTGTAGCTGTCTAGTTCCCTTGTCTTTCCACACAAATTTTAATTTTTTTTAAAAAATAGGGGCTTGAATTCATGACCCTGAGCTCCACATGAATTTTATAATCAGCATATCTACAAAAGAAATATGGCCGGAATTTTTATAAGAATTGCAGTATAGCTATGGATAGATTTGGGGAGAATCGACATTATTACCTTGCTCAATCTTTCAATCCATGAAGATGATGTCTTTCCACTTAGTTAGGAAAAACACCATTTCATCAGTGTTTTGCAGTTTTCAGCATACAGATCCTATATATATGTACTTAGGTTTATACTTAAGTATTTAAATTTTTTGAACTGTTATTAATGGTATTGTGCCTTTAATTTTGGTTTCCAGCTGACTAAGCCAGCCAGCCACCGCTCCCCCCCCCCCTCTGGTCTCTCAAATGGAAAACCTTGGGGTCATCCTTCACTCCTCTTTTCTCACACTCCTATCCAATCCATCCATCAACAAATACTGTTGACTCTACTTTGTAAGTGACTTCACAACTTGACCACTATAAGATCTGTACTGTATCTGCAGTTACGTCTCCCCTCAGACTAGTGCCTGGTACAGAGTAGTAAGACCCCACTTAATTGTTGAACTGAATGATTGCTTCTTTATTAAAGAAACAGTACTCAAGATTTTGAGATTTTACCTTCTCTTGTTGAATTATATTATCTCTTAATGTTGACAAAAAAGTTATTTTTATATCTTCCTTAAGTTTCCTGAATTCATCAGACTTCTATTACAGATGGAGTTCCATAAGATTGTGGTCTGTATACTGAATTGTGTTCAAATGTAGTTAATATTAAACTTTTCAGGGTTCTTTAAGATTTAGTGATGTTCTAGTTTCAGTTAATTTTAGTTATAATTTCTTATGCTAGTTGAAAAAATTATTTTTCACTAAAAAAAACCCCCTGCCCCTAGTAAAGATTAATATTAATGAAATATATTCATATCAACACTCTATGTAACATGAGAGTGTGTTATATATAAGGTGACTGCTCTGAATTGTTTACAGCAAAAGAAAAACATTCAGTGCTTTAAGTAATAAAACTGATCTTAGTTCCTTCTTCTTGAATCTTGTTGTTTGGTGTAGTTCAATAATTATTTTTGTTTCTGGTTTATTCCCTCTGTTTCCTGAACCTTATTTTATCATGTATTCCCATGTACCCGAGTACACTTTATTTTATGCATGTATGGAGCAGAGTAACTTCACAGGTTCTCTTAGTCACCACAGTTTTGTGCTCTTTAAATATAAGCAGAAGGAAAAGAAGGCATTGACATATTCTTTTTACTATTTTATTAAGTATAATTATATCTTAGGTCCTCACTAGCATCTTTGACAACTCGTATTTTCAAAATTGACTCTTTCCTACTTGGAATGTCCCCATTGGTGAGTAAACAAAGGTAGGTTTTCAAATGAACTAATAAAGAAGGTAGACTAAATAAACACCTCCCTTATCTGTTTAGCCTAGGGCCACAGTCAAGTATTAAAAGTAATAATAGACCCATTTATTCTACAGTTCAGTCTGTACCTTTACATTCTTTATAGTTCTGGTCTCCATCTACATCCTTCCCTTCTTGTTCAGGCATTAGGAGAATATGATCCCTGAGATTTCACAAATGGACATCGTCCTCTCTGTTTGGTGGTATCTTTTATCTGCCAGTGGGTTATGTTCCTCTTCGAGGCTACTGAAGTGTGGTGTCTGATAGTTTTGTGTCCGGATTTCTCAGGCTGATGCTTACTGCTCTTAGCCTTAGGGGGAAGTGTGTCCCTTAATGATTTGCTGCTGTGGACTCAGAAATTGCATGCCACTCTTTCCTGAGCATCAGATAGTTTTATAACCCCTAATGGGATACCATTTTACAGTAAAAAAGAACAAGATATCAGTCTATGCTACACCATTGATGAACCTTAAAACATTATTTTGTGGAGGTGTTTGTGTAGTTTTCACTATTTCCCTTCACATGTAAAAAAGTTCTTAATCACAGTTTCTCAGTTCTGTTGGACACCCCACCGCCAATCTTTCCAACTAACATCTTTGTTTATATCATGGTTTCAAGATGCTGAGTATTTGTGCAGAGGAAGTGAAAGATGTTGTGTGACTGTGTTTTTGTTTTTTTTTTAAAGATTTTATTTATTTTAGAGCACTCATGTGCGTGGGTTGGGGGAGTAGCAGAGGGGGGGAGAGAGAATCTCCAGCAGACTCCCCACTAAGCACGGAGCCCAAAATGGGGCTCGATCCCATGACCCCGAGACCACAACCAGAGCTGAAATCAAGAGTTAGAGGCTTAACCAACTGAGCCACCCAGGCACCCAACCATGTTCTTAAATTATCTTTTCCTATCTCTGGTAAAGGATGAAGAACGGCTCTGGTGGTATTTAGCTGGTGAAAGTGGTGAGTTACCCTATCACACATTCTCTTTTGAACTATGACAAATATTCACTAGTAGAAAGTAGAAGGCTATATTTATTTGTGGGTAAGTATGAGTTTACCATGCAGAAAATCTGATTCTTAAATGGATGAATATGACTAGCTACATGGGCATATTAAAAAGCAGAATGTGGGAGTGTAGAGTGGTATGGCTATTTTGGAAAACACGTTGGCAATTTTTTTTTTTTTTAAGATTTTATTTATTTGACAGAGACACAGCGAGAGAGGGGACCCAAGCAGGTGGAGTGGGAGAGGGAGAAACAGGCTTCCCGCTGAGCAGGGAGCCCGATGTGGGGCTTGATCCCAGGACTCTGGGATCATGACCTGAGCCGAAGGCAGATGCTTAACGACTGAGCCACCAGGGCCCCCAGGTCGGCAATTTCTTAAAAAGTTAAATATAAACATATACCATATGATTTGGCCATTCTACTCTTAGGTGTCTACTCATTAGAAAGGGAAATATATGTCCACACAAAAACATGTACGTGAATGTTTATAGTGGTATTAGTCCTACTAGACAAAAACTGAAACAATTCAAATATCCACTGATGAATGGATAAACCAGATGTTGTATATACATGCAGTAGGATACTATTTAGCAATACAAAAGGAACAAAATACATGCTACAATGTGGATGAACCTCAAAAACATTATGCTAACTGATATAAGGACTTAAGATATACCACATATTGAATGATTGCATTTAAGTGAAATGCTCAAAAAGAAGCAGAAAACAGATGAGTGGTTGCCTGAGGTTGGCAGTAGGAGCAAGGATTGAATGCAGATGGGCTTGTGAGAATTTTTGGGGTAATGAAAAAGTTCTAAAACTGTATTGTGGTGATGGTTGTACAACTCTATAAATTTACCTAAATCACTGAATGATACACTTATGAGTGGATGAATTTTATGGTATGTGAACTATACCTCAGTAAACTTTTTTTCAAAAAGGGAATGAAAATGAATTTTGTACTGAAGTATTAAGAAAAACATTGACAAATGTAGTCATTTGACTAATGATGAAAAGGGATTGTCTTGGAGATGTAATCTTTCAGGTAAAAGGAAAAGGGTGTTCGATTTACATTGAGAAGTCTAAGTGGAACCCTTCTCTTTTGCCTTGAAATCTTTAGTTAACAATAGCATCAGATGTTTTTACTTAAATTTTTGCATTTCTCCATATTTTTGTACACTGTGGCTGATAGAGTAAATTGTGGTTATATAAAATAACCTTTTTGGAGCAGTTTGTCAAGGACCTTAACATTTATATCCTTTGGCCTGTAATTCCACATAAAAAGTATATTCTCAGGAAATAATTAGAAATGAAAACAAGGTCTAGTATTTGGAAGTGTTCACTCTAGCATTACAAAGGCTAATAAAAAAATTAGTAATCGACATGCTCTCACAGTAGGAGGAGTTTTTATAATTGTTTTAGTTATGGCTCTGTTGGTTGCAAGGGGCAGAATTCCTTTATAACTAGCTGGAGTAAGGTTGGGTTTTGTTGACAGGATACAGGGCACTCTAACAGCTCCAAAACAGCAAGATCAGTGAGGCCCTTTGGCAATGGGGAGCCAAAGCCGCTTTCCCCATTTCTCACTCTCAGCGGCCAGGCTAGTCACTTCTGTTTTCTTTGCAGGCCTACTTTGTCCTCAGCCTCTTCAGCCATTCTTTCTTGTGCATGGTTCAGTGCTCCTTGCCAGCTCTGACTGAGTCAGTCTTTGTTCCATTTCCAAAACTTCCAGAGCAGGAGTCTGGACTAGGTCATCTTTTTGAGCCTGAAGTGGGTCAGTGAACAACTGGTGATTTGATCTTCTCCATCCCCTTTTTGGGGTCTACATTCAGGTTTAGTAAAAGTGAAATGGTGTTGGATAATGACATTGATAAAATAGATCTCATGGACTCTCAGAAATTGCAAATATTATTAATTTAAGATATTTCTAAGGCCTTCTGTGATAAAATTGCTTTTCACTCACACTCTTAAAAGAATAGTGTGCATTTGTGGTAGATCCCTGCTTTTTTAAATTTTTATTTTTTTAATCATTCCTTACTAAAATCTCCATGGTATGGCTTCCACCCTTTCTTCCTTATTAAAACCACTTTTACTAAGTCTGCCTCTTGAAAATGTATTAGATGCTGTGGCTCAATCACCACGTCCTGAGATGCTGTCTCTGGACTTGACTTCAGTGATGTTACTCTCTCCTGACCTTTCTCCGGCCCTCCAGGTCTGCCTCAGTGGATCTTCCTCCTGTGCTCATCCTTTTAATATTGCTGCTGCCCTGTGCCTCACCCTCCTCTTCTTTTCATTTCATTTCATATCTGTCCTGCTCTTTCTTTTACCTCTGTGGCTTCAGAGATCCTTTATATCCCCTAAATCTCTTGTCTTTATTAGACGCTTTCTGCTGAGTTCTGTGGTAACCACCAGCTTTTTGCATATCATCAGAACTTCTCTTTTGAACCTTCATAGCTTTTTGTACCTCTGTTTATTCTTTGCTGCACCTATGTATTGTGCCTTATATAACTTTGTATTCCTGGTAGCACCTACCAGAATTCTTTGATAGTGGATTCACTCAATATTTACCCATCTATATATTCCTGTTTTTAAAAATGGGCTAATTATACTTGTATGTGATTTTATTTTCTTTCCTTCTTATCCTAAGAAAAATACCCACAAACTTTTTTTCTAAATCTAAAAATAATTTCCAACATAGTTGTTTTGGTCAGAGGAAAAAAAAAACAAAACCCAGCTTAGTGGATATGCTTGCTAAGAACATTTTTCAATATATTTGGGTCTATTAATACGAATTTTTCCTGAGAATAAGGACATAAAGCCTATTGAGTTTTGGACACTAATCATATGTGGATTTAATTTCTGTACTAGATATTTTCTTGTCCCACTACAAAAGAAAGACATCACTGAAAAATTCAACCAGTTCAGAAATATGCAATGTAGAGATTGAAAGTTTCCATTATTATGTGTAGAGTTTTTCCAAGTAGAATTGAACTGTAGAAATGGTGGTACTTTGTGAATACAAAATAAATTTGCTCATGCGGTAAGAGTATGGCTATTGGTTGAAGGATGAATGGTTAGTTACCATACAGGGCAGGCAGCGACTGATAGCGCAGATCTGCTTACTAACCTCCACAGCATGGCTGCTATGTGCACAAAGTTTGTGCTGGAGCTGTGCTATCTGTGTTAAAGGCTTGGGCATTTCACCTTGTTCCTCTGAGTGCAGACAGTTTAGTGAATCAGAGGATAGTCTGAAATCAGACATAAGAGGTAGTATAAGGGTCAGTTAGCAAAGTCAATTCTAGTTTATTTATTTATTTGTAATTGTAGCTTTTACTAGAAGTATGGCTTTGGGAACCTTGTGAACATCTTAAAGACTTCTAATGGATTGCCACTTTTGGCAGATGATTTAACACAAAGATAGAAACTTTGGTTCATGTATTCAGGGTGTTAATGAAAAACAGGAAGATAAATAAAAGAACTAGGAATATACTTCTTTTCATTTAGCTCTTGTAGGTAGAACATACTTGATATTTGTAGTAACGACACTCAGGCAGAGTGGCAGAGTTGTGTTTGTCATTCAGCCTTTGGGGTTTTAGTGGAGTTAAGGAGACCTGTAGATGGTCATCAAGACTTGGTGCTTCATGGAAAGAACACTTAAACATACAATGAGTATGTTAGCTTGGTGGTTATGGCATTGCTGCTGGGAGAATGGGTCTCTGAGAGAGACAATCTTCCACACTTGGGTAAGTCTCGACACAGACCTCACGTTGAAGGTTTCTGCTAACCTATAACTCTTTTATAGAGTATTCCTAGTTGGTATGCTGCATATTAATCAGTATGTCTGCTTCAGTGAAGGAGACCTGAATTCTTAAAGCTGACTTTTAGGGAAAAGACAGTTTAGGAGGTGAGTGTGAGACATAATCTTGAGGGAAAACATGGGTGAAAACAGAACTATCTTTTGGTGTTTTTGTGCTTGACTTCATTGTCCATTTTTTCTTACACTTGGTTTAAGTTCAGATCCTTTGCACAGCAGCTCGAAACTTGCTATAGACAGTATAGAAACGAGTGGATAACATATTATTCAGATACTCTAATAGCTCAGCCAGGACCATGTCCTGTCCAAATGTGGTAGTAATGTAGAGACAAAATGGGTAATGTCAAAAAGCTGTTTTCCTTTTGGAAGCAGAGTGCATGACAGATGGGTTTGGGAATAGTGTTGAAAACCCTGTGATTGAGCGGCAAACGAGCATGAGAAGGGATTTTTTTTTGTCTTCTCTGCCATCTGTTTAGCGTGTTCGGGCACAAACAAAGGGAAGAAGATACTCTTGGTTAGATTGGTAAAGCATTAGTCCCCTTTCTCTCTTTTTAATCTCAACTGTAATCTTTCTAACTTGTGTTGCTTGTATTGCTGCATTTCCTTTTTATGTGCTCTTATTTATTTTCATGGCAAATGCATTTTTAAACAGTCTCTGGGATAATTATTGCCATTAATTTTCGTATTTCCATTTTAATGATATTTTCATTTATTCCTTTTGCTAGCTGGATTGCCTTTTGCAATTCTTACTTCAAGGCATACCCCCTTCCAACGAGGAATATTCTGTAATGATGAGTCCATCAAGTATCCTTACAAAGAAGACACCATACCTTATGCGTTATTAGGTGGAATAATCATTCCATTCAGTATTATTGTTGTAAGTCAAATCCACTTTTCCAAGTTTATCACTTTTGGGCAGTTGGCTTAATTTTGTGTTAATCTGTTAATGACTGAATGCATAAATGTCCAAAACAATGTATTTTTTTAATGTTTAATTAATGTTATTTGATCAAGGTGATCTCAGCTATTTTAAGTGGAACCAAAGGAATAACTGTATAATTAGAAGAATCTTAACTGAATGTGTGTAGCTTTTATGCTCATATTTTCCAAGTCACTGTGGTTTTTAGAGCTCTAAGTTGCTGTTGTTGCAGTAATCATGCAGTAGATACATGTTATAGCAGTATGTTTTTAGCATACTTTGTACCTAGGGTATTACTTTATGATTTGTGGGATCTGTGTGAATGTACCTACTTTCTAGTTACCGAGTTCTAAAAAAAGAAAAATAACTAATGTTAAGACTTCATTCTAACCCATGTTAAAGAATTTTTATATAATGCCAGCAACTAGAGAGAAAAGCCAAAGTTGTGTATATAATCAGCAGTGAACACAAGAGAATTTTTACTGGTACTGAAACCTAATAGTAACTATTGCTTTTAGGATTTCGGGTGAGAATGCTTAGAGATTGTGCTCTAAGGAGAAGACATCAAGGGATTGGACTAGATTATTTCATAATTTATCAACTGAGAGAGTCTGTGACTTAGATTAAATAGCTTTATGCTCCATGACTTGTAACTTTAGAAGGAAGATTTATGTTGGTTGAAAGTAGAAAATATGGTCCCATCCAGGAGGTAGGCCAATAAGATAACATGTGTGTCTTGTCAGTTTTGGTGTTTATTGAAAAAAAAGCTTAATTTAGAAATTCAATGTTTTATTCAAGAATGATCACGGCTCCTTATTAGCATTGAGAATTAATCAACTCATTATTTGGGGTACATAATTAATAAAAGAAAACCTTTCTCATAAACATGTTTGTTTTATGAGACTGTAAACTCCTGGAAGGCAGAGATGGTGCTTTGTTCTCCTTGGGACTCCCGCTGCCTGCCTGGGAGCTGGGCATGGTGGAACCTGGCATGTCCTAGGTGCTGGAATGAAATGAGAGTAATTACATAGTGACCTTGGCTGGCTCTTCTACAGTAAGGTGAAGTTTTAAGAAATCAGATCCCTTTAATCTAGACAAATCTTTACACTGAATTTTTACTGCTGAAAGAACAAAAGCCAAGCCTATGATTGTTCCTTTAAGAAGGCAGTGAGAGTAGATTTTTTTTTTAAGTATGTGTGTTTCTGAGATACTATGTGAATTTAAAGTTTTTAATAGGATACTTAGTTGCAAATACAGTTGCCCCTTGAACAAGTTGGGGTTAGGGGACACTGACACCCGGTGCAGTCAGAAATCTGTGTTAAAATTTTTGACTCCCCCAAAACTTAACTACTAATAGCCTACTGTTGCCTGGAAGTCTTACTGATAACATAAAGAGTCAATTAACACATATTTTGTATGTTACATGTATTATACAATAAAGTCAGCTAGACAAAAGAAAACGTTAGTAAGAAAATCCTAAAGAGAGAATACATTTACAGTACTGTATAATGTAAGTGGACCCACTCATTTGAAACACGTGCTGTCGAAGGGTCAGCTGTAGTAGCTGAGTTCATACAAGATTCTCCCTTGGAGTATTCGAACACTGCTGCAGATGGACTTGTCTTTCTTTCTTTCTTTTTTTTTTTGAAGATGTTATTTATTTATTTGACAGAGAGAGACACAGCGAGAGAGGGAACACAAGCAGGGGGAGTGGGAGAGGGAGAAGCAGGCTTCCCGCTGAGCAGGGAGCCTGATGTGGGCCTCATCTTAGGTCCCTGGGATCATGACCTGAGCCAGAGGCAGACGCTTAACGACTGAGCCACCTGGCGCCCCTGGACTTGTCTTTCAATTCTGCTTGACTTTGTGTCTCTCAGTCAAAAGGTTGCTGCACAAGCAAAACTACAGAAATCCAGTACAGACCAGAGGCCTGCTGCAGGACGGGGTTCTGACGGCCGGGCACTGTAGGTGTAGCCTGCACCCACACAGGGCCTGATGGAACCCTCAGTGAGCGAGAACTTGTTATTTATATTTCATGAATTCCTAAGTTTTGACGATTTCATCATCTATGTGAGAAAGTTATCTCTGTGTTTAATAAAACAATTATAAATTGAGTGTAGGTTTCTTAAAAAAGAACAGACTCTTTAAAGGTGCTATGAAAGTACTATTTTTATATCAGCCAACACTGCATAGGGTGGTAGTTTTATGTACTAATTTTAAAAAATTCACTTTGTTTATTAACTCCACTTATTTCAGTAAGCACTTGGTTAGACATGTAAATAATGTTTAATTTTATTTACTAGAAAGTGAATCAGTTCTTAAAAAAAAAAAAAAAAAAATCAGGACTGTGATTCAGACTTCATACCAGGCTTTGACCTGGCTTACAGATGATCCACAGATAGATAAGTGATTGAGGGAGCCTGGTGGAGAACCAGAGTTAATATAGTTTCTCAGAAGCCAAGGGAGAATTTCAATAAGGAGAAATGATCAGTGATGTCAAATACTGTGAGAAGTTAAGGTAAATGAGAGTTGATAAATACTGTTCAATCTGATGAGACCATTTTGACTTTTGAAAAAGATTCAGTAGAATAAAGGGAATGACGGTAGTTCAAGATATTTAGGAAGGAGTGGAAGTACACCAGTGATTTTATTTTTAAGTTTTTTTATTTTTTAAAAGATTTTTATTTATTTCTCAGAGAGAGAGAGGGAGAGAGAGAGCACAAGCGGTGGGAGCGGGAGGCAGAGGGAGAAGCAGGCTCCCCGCTGAGCAGGGAGCCCGATGCGGGACTCGACCCCAGGACCCTGGGATCACGACCTGAGCCAAAGGCAGACGCTCAACCGACTGAGTCACCCAGGCGTTCCAGCACACCAGTGATTTTACACTACACTTTTGGGAAGGTGGGCCCTGAAGGGGAGGTACATAATATAGGGACAGTGTAGAGATGTATAAAATCATCTTGGTTGATGGAACTATAAAGGAGATGGTGAGAAAATATTGTGGTGCATAAGTTTTAAATGATTGAATTACATGGATTTGGTAATTATTAGCTTTGATCTTCAAAAGTATTTTGTTTTAGGGACACCTGGGCGGCTCAGTCGTTAAGCGTCTGCCTTCGGCTCAGGTCATGATCCCAGGGTCCTGGGATCGAGCCCCTCATCGGGCTCCCTGCTCTGCGGGAAGCTTCTCCCTCTCCCACTCCCCCTGCTTGTGTTCCCTGTCTCGCTGTGTCTCTCTCTCTCAAATAAATGAATAAAATCTTAAAAAAAAAAAAAATTTTGTTTTAGTTCCCCAGACATTATCTTTAGTTCTTTAATAATTGATCCTACCTTTGGAGTGTAAATAATGCATAAGAAGTGATCACAACTCTAAGATAAGGCCACAGTCAGCTAAAGTGTGGACTTTACTAAAAGCTAAGCATTGGCATAAATGACTCAGAGGGCAGGACAAAGTATTAAAATGAAACAAAAATATGGCTGTCTTGTATAGTGAAATGCTCAGACACATCCCTACATTTAATTTAGAAAATCAATTTAGAACTTGTCTGTTGTCTAGCTCTCTCAGTGAGGATGGAGGACATAATAAAAAACGATGTACATTAACCCAGCATTTGTCAGCTTTGGAATGCTGCCCTTTCCCAGCATTAAGGGTTTTAAGTTTCAGCTTACACTACCTCTGTGAATCAGTTTGTCATCTGTACGCATTGCGCAGAATTCTCCTAGTGAGCTGACTTTCTCACCTCAGTGTCAAGAACCAGGGTTTGGGTGGCCCTAAAGAACTGGAAAATAATTGAGTGCTTACACAAGAACAGCTGACAGCTGAAGTGGGGGAGTTTTAGCTGCTCAAATTGTGGTTGATTAATATACTTGGTATATATTGTAAATGATCAAAGAGCAACTCCATAATGAAACATGAGAGAAGTCCTCTCTTGCTGCTCATCTATAAAGGCGGTTGCTGGGACACCTTGGCAGTCAGAGGAGACAGTATATACTTTAATACATGGGCCACTGGAGGGGGTTGGGAGAACCCTAAGCACAATTGCAGAGGTGTGGTATCCCTAGAAGTGCATATGGTGTTTCTCTTCTGAGAGACCTGTTCTCAGAAAAGGATCTGAATTCACATTAATTACTGTAATGAGGAATCTATTTCTGTGGGGCTTAATGTTTAAACTAAGGGAGTTTACGTTTTACCCAGGAGGCACCCCTTTCAATTAAAATTTACTAACCACCTACTCTGTTGGAGGCCACTATGGTGGTACTGGGTTTTTATTCAATGACTAAAACTTGATTCTTTCTTTTGTAGGATTCATAGTCTAGTTGTCTAAGTTTTAACATTCTAATTATGGAGCCATGGAGCCAAACAAAGAAAGAACTTTTGGTGTTAGGGTCTTTTTTTTTTTTTTCTTTCTTTTTTAAGATTTTCCTTATTTATTTGACAGAGAGAGCTCAAGCAGAGGGAGCGGCAGGCAGAGGGAGAGGGAGAAGAAGGCTTCCTGCCGAGCAGGGAGCCCGATGCGGGGCTCGATCCGAGGACCCTGGGACCATGACCTGAGCTGAAGGCAGACGCTTAACGACTGAGCCACCCATGTGCCCCTGGTGTTAGGTTCTTAATCGCTTCTTGGCCTTTTGGCTAAGATCAAGTGTAGTATCTGTTCTTATCAGTTTAAAATCTCTTTTAGGAGGCAACCATTTGTTTTACCTACTATAAGGCTTACCATGAAGATAATTAATCTGCACCAAATGGAAATGTTTGAATGTTTTATAAGATTGTTCATGTAAATTTAAGATGAAGCAGCAAGACTAGTACTTAAGAAAAATTTTGTGACTTGCATCTCCTCACTTGCTCAACATAAATAAGCAAGCTTTTTCTTCTTGTTCAACTATTTATTTTGGTCTCAGGTAGCTAGAATGTGGATTATTTTATCAGCAAATGTAATTTTGTATAAATTTGCTCCTCAGTATTTTTTGGATTTCTTAGGGTTTTGGCCTGTGAACTTGTCAAGTATTGAGAAGGCTTTTTATGCCTTTAAACTCATTATAGCAGTATATGCTGGCTGACACACACTCTACTAGAATCTGGGAAGGCTTTGTCTCCACTTTTAGTGAAAAATAAAGAAAGAATCACTTGAAATGTTTTCTTGGAGGAGAGCATCAAATGTGTGTTTGATCTGTTAATGAGACTTGTGAAGTCTGTCAGAGCCTTGTTAAGCAGGCCTAGGGGTCTGGAGAGGCAGGGCTGGGAGGCTCTGTCCGCTAATCTCTGCCCTCTGTACCCTTTGGCCTCAGTGTTAGATCCCTGCTTTGATATTAGTTTATTCCCTGAAACTATTTTACTTTTTAAAATATGATGGATGTTTTTGATTCAGAGGAATGTTGGCTAAAAATGAAGACACTGCCAGATAAAAGTACTTATACAAGGGATACTCTAGGAAAGTTTGTGTTAATTTGAACAAACCATGGTTTTTGTCATTCATGATACATCATTGTCTGCTTATTAAAACTCATTTTATTTGAGTACCAGGAAAGAAATAAGGTCTTATTGTTTCAGGTAGATTTGAAATTATTTTGGCCATTGCTTTGTAAGCAGTATCCACAGTTGATCTGACACCTTTTTTCATAGTTTAGAATTAGATATCCTGACTCTCCATTTGCAAATGAAAAAGGGAGGTGTTTTTAAAATAAAGATTTTATTGTGATTTACCATTTTCTTTTCTATTTTTTATTTTGTTTAAAGTGCCTGGTTTTTTTTTTAACATGTTATTTTTCTGTTTCTTTTTCAGATGATTATTGGAGAAGCCCTGTCTGTTTATTATAACCTCTTGCACTCGAATTCCTTTATCAGAAATAACTACATAGCCACTATTTACAAAGCCATTGGAACATTTTTATTTGGTGCAGCTGCTAGTCAGTCCCTGACTGACATTGCCAAGTATTCAATAGGCAGACTGCGGCCTCACTTCCTGGATGTATGTGACCCAGATTGGTCAAAAATCAACTGCAGTGTTGGTTACATTGAAAACTACATATGTCGAGGGAATGCACACAAAGTGAAGGAGGGCAGGTGAGTGTTAAATCTTCAGTGTTTGTTTTATCTTATGTATTCTTGGAAAAAAAGGTTTCAGAGACTGGAAGATGAGCCATCCACTAGCTTAGGGAGAGAAGCTAGTGTAATCACTGGGAGCTGAATTGAGATCGTATTTTGACTTATCTCTACTTATGCTTTTTTCCCCATTTTATCCCTACCTTCTGTTTAAGAGCATTTTAATGCAGGTCTTTCCATCTCTCATGAATAATTAAAATGAACTTCATATGTCATATAGTGCAGGGCCACCATACTTTTTCTTAAGGCACCAGATAGTAAATATTTTAGGTTTTGTGAGCCATTTGGTTAATTTGACAACTGTCCATCTGTGCTGTTGTACCAGGAAAAAACAGCCATAGACAATCCTTGAACAAATGGGTGTGGTTATGTTCCAGTAAAAGTTTATTAACAGAAACAGTGGCTGCTCCAGGGGTTGTAGTTTGCTGACCTTTGATGCGTGTATTAAGTTCTGCTCTATCTCTTAGTATTCTTAGAGTATATTTTTTTGTAAGGAAACTTCATATATTGACAGCTTTAGGTCTTCAGGTTGCCTTCTTATAATGCCCTTGTTAGGCTCCTTTCTATACCTGGAGCGTTATTAGGCATGAATGAAATAGAATGTTTGAAACCCAAAAGGTCCAACTCCTTTGGGTAGATGAGCAAACGGAGGTCCAGTAACATTAAATAAAGCTGCTAATGGGGCCTGGGTGGCTCAGTCAGTTAAGCGTCTGCCTTTGGCTCAGGTCATGATCCCAGGGTCCTGGGATCGAGCCCCGCATCGGGCTCCCTGCTTGGTGGGGAGTCTGCTTTTCTCCCTCCCTCTGCACCTCCCCTAGCTCATGCTCACTCACTTGCTTTCTTTCTCTCTTTCTCAAGTAAATAAAATCTTTAAAAAAAATAAAAATAAATAAAGCTACTAATTAGTAGCAGAGCCAGTTCCCCATCTCACGTCTCAGAATTGTCAGCCTTACCTTTTCTGTATGATTGACGTTCTTATATTTTAAGATAGCTGTCACTTTACCTTAGTTATTCATCATCCAACAGATACTTTGGGTAAAATATCCTTTGACTGTTCTTTATACATTATTCTCAGGCACTTTATTGTCCTTGTTGGTTCTCTTATAAGCTACACAGGCCTTGTAGTAGCCCCCAATTTTTGCATTTAGTGGAGATGAAAAAAACACCTTATTTAACTAAGAGTATACACTGTGCTGTGTGCATGAGATCTGGCCGTGAACTAGAAAGCTCTGGTTCTCATCTTCATGGAGCTTAGTCTAGCACAGAGGACTTAAAAAAGTGATGGCAGTGGAAAAGAACCTCCTTGTTGATAACGAGACCAGAGAATAGAGAGGCTGTTGAATGGCAAGCTTTGAGGTGATCATAGGAGGACTGGTAGGGGTATAAAGTCTTAATGAATGAAGGAGAGAGAAATGGCTAATGCTATAGGCAATTGATAATGGAAGGTTGTATTGTTGATTTGAGTTTAGGTAAGCAAGCATTTTTTAAGAGGGCTAGGGGAAGAATGGTCCAGAAATGGCTTTGAGGAGTGATGAACTTACCAACACCAACACTGGGCTCTGAGGGTGTGGGATGTGGAGATCTCATTCTCTGCTCTCATAACACTACAATGTCCTAGGGAAAGATCTCAAATTTAATGACTAGGAGATGCAATGACTTTCAGTGAAGAGTTTGAAGACTCAGGGAAATATAGAGGACTATCCATGCCTGTGTCTCTAGTAACATGTCTCCTGCATCACCCAACAGAAAATAGGAAAACTCTAATGTTTTCTCTTGTCACGGTATTTAAGAAAGTCAGGTGATAAGGGCTTACCTAAACTCCAGAAAATATCATTATAAATGATTCTTTAAGAACATGGTTTCTTTACACATGTATTGTTTCTTATATTTTAGCTCAAAATTTTCTTGCAACAATATGTGTTATGAGAGATTTTTCTTTCTTACAGGAGCCATTTGGACAAAATGTGAAATATAATTTATTTTTATTTTTTACTTTTTTAAAAGATTTTATTTATTTATTTGACAGAGAGAGACACAGCGAGAGAGGGAACACAAACGGGGAGTGGGAGAGGGAGAAGGAGAAGCAGGCTTCCTGCCAAGCAGGGAGCCCGATGCGGGGCTCGATCCCAGAACCCTGGGACCATGACCTGAGCCGAAGGTAGACACTTAACGACTGAGCCATCCAGGTGCCCCAAAATGTAATTTATTTTAAATGACATAAATGTGATTACATTTTCCACTCCATATATGTCCTATTATGTATGTTTTCCTAGTGTATCTATAAATTGGCCAACATGTACTGTAATACTCTGATGGTACTTTTGACTTAAGTTCATGTAGGTTTTTTACCCATTACCCTTTAAAGTTTCTTCAGCCTCCCACATTTTCAGTGAGAAGATCTGCTGATTAGCTTTGGGGTTCTGAAATAAGAAGGAAAATCAAACCTAGAAATGAAATTTTAAGAAAACTTTGTATCTTCTGAGAAAAAATGGGATTTCCATTGGTGTTTCCAGAATGAGTTAGTTGTTGCCACAGTTCCAGAGCTTTGTAACGTTGGTGCATAACTGTGGCTTTGCATTGCTGTTCTGTTGAGAAGCATAATTTCGTTGGATTCAGGCTTTCCTATTGCTTTTCTCTTGAATTTTTAAGTCGGGATGCCAAAAATGCAAAAACATTTCAGTCTAGACATTGTCTGTAATATATTAGGATTATAGTGTAATCTCCTTTAATTTATTTATCTCCACAGGCTGCCCCCTGTACGTTTATTTTAATTATGAAATTATAATGCTTGACATTGGAGAGAAGGGAACATAAGCACCCAAAATGAGTCATTTTTGTTGACTATAAATGAGTCAGAGTTACATCTGAGGGTGAGAGTACTCTCTTACAATTTTGGCTTTTTCCCCATTCGTTTTCTTATTTTCTTCTATTCCTCTTTCTGCCTGCCCTTCCTGCATATGTGCACAGTCTTGTGCTCTTGTATCACTGATGTCAGAGGACTTTTACCAGGCTTCATTTGTGGCCCTGGGTCCTAAACATAGAAGTGAGAACATAAATGGACTATAGTGGCATACCTATTAATTGTAATATCCAGAGAGCTCCTCTTCATTGTTTAAGATTAATACCTGGGAATTTACTATAAATGAAAAGGGGCTGTGTACTTGTAACTCTGGGACATCCAGCTGCCCTCGCTTATGCCAATGAGAATAGCATTACTTTGTGAAAAAAAATTACTAATGAGCCCAGGCAGTTCGGACCTGTAGCACTCTGCCCAGGTAAACATTCTCTTTAGAGACTATTTAGACCAATGGCTCTCAAATATGAGTTGTTCGTTAGAATCACCTGGAGGGCTTGTGAAAACACAGATTTCAATGTTTCCTCCTCAGGTGTTTAATTCAGGAAGTGGGGGTGGGGGCTGAGAAGATGTATTTCTAACACACTCCCAGATGCTCCTGCCTCTGTGCTTGATCTCAGGACCGTACTTTGTGAACCAGTGCTTAAAATCCCCTGGATGATGGGAATAACCTCACATGACATCTGTTATCTTAGGATGTTTGGCAGGGTGAATTTAAGATTGTGCACAACTAGCTGTGTTACCGAATGACCTATCCCCGCCACTAAGGAGCCGAGCAGGTGAGCCCTGGTGGTCCTGGGGCCAATTGCTTTGTGCCAGGGAACCCCAAGGAGGCTGGACCAATCGGAAGCACAGCTCCTGGCTGGGCTTGCCAACACTGTTGTGGAACAAACTCAGATAAACTGGTTGTAGGAGAAGTCAGTAACTCAAGAGAAGATGGTTTGGAAAAGAGAAAGGGAGAAATGTAGGGTGCTGCCAGCAAGGAACTTGGTGGCAGGCTCAAGCTTTAACCACTGACTTCTCCACCAGCAAGATGGACACCGACTGTGTTACAGGGAGAGGTTGGGGTGGAGTACATGCAAGAGAGCAGGCGGGAGTGCGTGATCATGGGTGGGAGTCACTATGTGTTCAGCCCACGATCACGGGCAGGGAAGGGGACATGTGGGATGTGGTCGTCTAGGCATTCCATTGCTATCCGGGCTTTTCTGGTCTGGCAGTTGGGATGTTCAGGTCTTCGCAAAATGTCTTTGTCAATGCCTCGAGAAAGTTTGATAAGAAATAAGCACAATGGGTTTTCATTGGAGCATCAGTTAAGCAGTCTTGCCTGTTTCTGGTTTTAACTGTTGGGGTCTATAGTTGAGCAAGACAGCTCGCTAAGAGCTGCTCTGTTTGTGATACTACAGTATAGAAACTTTTGTCTTCTCTAAGAAATTTACTTTTTTATTTTTTCTGGCTTTTATTTAAATTACATTTGCTTAAGGATAGACTCAGCGTTTCTGATCAGTTCTGAGCGATTGGTCTTTGGCTATATAAATCAGATATTCAATATAAAGTTACTTCTTTTGGATTATGGCAGCTTTGTATTATTTAGATGATTAATTGTGATATGTTTGGTTGAATGTGAGAAATAATTTTCCTTTTGTCTTTTTTTAATGCAACCCCTATGCAGGTAAATAAAACTGAGTTTTGAGGGAGTGCCTTCTATACTAGTGAAAACCCATTATAATTAGACTGACTAGCTGTGGGATTAAGTACCTGGCAAAACCTGAGAATCACAGCTTCAGCCTATCCATGAAGTTACGAAATTCAACTACTATCTATTGCTGTTAAGTCCTAGTCGCGGTGGGAGTGCCTCCCAAAGTGTACATGGTGCTCACTGCACCAGGGCTGAGACATGTTGGGAGACTGTGTGTGTGATAGATACATGCCTTGAAGGAGTGAGGATGAAACCATGAAATCAGAGGGTGTTAATACTGCTTCTAGGAGAGGAGGCATTTTGGAGGATGAGTAAGGTTCGAATGTGTGAGTTAGGATGGGGTGTGTCTCAGGGCTCAGCGAGCAGCAGCCCAGGCAGGCAGCTAGGCTGGAGGCTTAGGGGGTACAGGCA